CTCCTACTCTTCCTCTTCTTACTCCTCCTCTTCCTCCTCCTCTCCTCTTTGCTCCTCCTCCTCTTCTTCCTCTTCCTCCTCTTCCCCCTACTCTTCCTCCTACTCTTCCTCTTCCTCTCTTCCCCCTAATCTTCCTCCTACTATTCCTCTTCCTCCTCCTCTTCTCTTCTTCCTCTTCCTCCTACTCTTCCTCATCCTCCTCTTCCTCCTCCTCCTCCTCTTCTTTTCCCCTTCCTCCTACTCTTCCTCCTACTCTTCCTCCTACTCTTCCTCCTCCTCCTCTTCCCCCTTTTCCCCTAATCTTTCTCCTACTATTCCTCTTCCTCTTCCTCCTCTTCCTCCTCTTCTTCCTCTTCCTCCTACTCTTCCTCTTCCTCCTCCTCTTCTTCCTCTTCCCCCTACTCTTCCTCCTACTCTTCCTCTTCCTCCTTCTCCTTCTCCTCCTCCTCCTCCATAGTGTAAATTACCAGGAGTCGGCAGCTGTCAAAGTGACATATTGTCTCATTACTCACTCCCCCCTCCCGCCTGTCAAAACAATGGGGTCGGATGCTGCTTCCCCTCCATTCTATCTAATTATCTTTCTCCCTCATTCTATATCTTTTAATCTGTCTCTTTTTCTATCTGTCTGTCTATCTCTGTCTCACAGGTACACATAAATGCAAGTATACATAGTATAAATTACCTAGGATAACCCAAGAAATCCAGACAAAGTGCTGTACTCCGCTTGAGATGTGAGTAAAAGTGATGACGCAGTCTTGTGGCTCTCTGAGACAGAGAGCTATATGAATAGACAGATAGACAGGGAGCTTGACAGACAGACAAATAGACAGAAATGTTAGTATACCAGCAAAAACAAAGGGAGAAGCGATGTTTTATCTAATCTTTTGGTATGGGCTACACCCTCATTTACCCTCATCAAACGTCAGCACTTATCAGATGTTATCTCCCCTTATCTTGTTACTGTCATGGGTGAACATTTATTATTACATATTATTATTATTTATTATTATTATTATTATTATTATTATTATTATTATTATTATTATTATTATTTTATGTATTATTATTATGTATTATTATTATATGTATTATTGTTATTATTATGTATTCTTCTTCTTCCTCCCTCTTCCTCCTCCTCCTCCTCCTCCTCCTTTTCTTCCCCTCCTCCTCCTCCTCCTCTTCTTCCTCCTCCTCCTCCTCCTCTTCTTCCTCCTCCTCCTCCTCCTCCCCCTTCTTCCTCCTCCTCCTCCTCCTCTTCTTCCTCCTCCTCCTCTTCTTCCTCCTCCTCCTCCTCCTTCCTCTGCCTCCTCCTCCTCTTGCCTGCTCCTCCTCTGCCTCCTCCTCCTCCTCCATTCTTGGAACAAGTTTGAAGAGCTTGTAGTTCATAATCACTATCACTATCATCACCAATGCTCACATCTGAGTCTGGGATTTGGGAAAATAGGAGTTTCCTCTTTGATTCTGGTACAACTGAACGTGAACAAGACGGCCCAGCACCAGATGTGGAAGGCTGTGGGTTGTCTGGGTTTTCCTCACTATTACCCATATTATGGTCCATTAGTTTCAGTCGAAACCTCACCAGAACTTTGAAACTCATCTTCACTGTCACTTCCATCTGTATTAGAACTGTCACTGGGGAATAAAAGTGTCCCAATTCGCCGAGGAGTGAGGAACTTCTTACTGCCAGGCATGGTGGACATTGTGTACTATGATGGCATTCCCACAATGCACCACTGGGTCCCAGATTTTTTTCCTACTGCGCACACCCACCACACAGACCCATTCTCTCACATCTAGGCCTATCAGCCTTTTCCTGCGAGATTTGACAGTGCTAGAATTTATGCGTACTAGTACGTCAAAAACCCCTATGCGTAAGACGTACTAGTACGACCAAAACCCTCAAAGGGTTAAGAGGAAAGTGATGTTAACCCCAAGTTTAGGGTCTGTCTATCTGTCTGTCTTTGTCTATCTGTCTGTCTGTCTCTATCTGTCTGTCTGTGTCTGTCTCTGGCTTTATCTGTCTCTGTCTATCTCTTTCAATCTGTCTGTCTATCTCTGTCTCACAGGTACACATAAATACAAGTAAACGTAGTATAAATTACCTGAGATAACCCAAAAATCCAGACAGAGTGCTATACTCTGCTTGAAGATGTGAGTAAAGGTGATGACGCAGTCTTGTGGCTCTCTGAGACAAAGAGCTAGATGGATAGACAAATAGACAGGGAGCTTGACAGACAAATAGACAGAAATGTTTGTGTACCAGCAAAAACAAAGCGAGGGGGTTGGTCATCTAATCTTTTCTTACAGCTGCATCCTCCCCCACCCTCGTGTATGCTCATCGAACTTCAGCTCTTATCAGATGTTATCTCCCCTTATCACATCACTGTCAGGGGTGGATTTTGTTTTTCATGCTTCAAGGGAACTTATTAGTACCTATTATTGTTATTACGTATCCTCATCACCACCATCACCACCATCACCACCACCCACCATCCACCCTCACCACCACCATCACCAACCATCACCACCATCACCACCACCACCACCACCACCATCACCACCACCACACCACCACCACCATCACCACCACCATCACCACCACCATCACCACCACCACCACCATCACCACCACCATCACCACCACCACCTCACCACCACCATCACCACCACCACCATCACCACACCATCACCACCACCACCATCACACCACCATCACCACCACCATCACCACCACCATCACACCACCATCACCACCACCATCACCACCCATCACCACCACACCACCACCACCACCATCACCACCACCACCATCACCACCACTCACCACCACCTCACCACCACCATCACCACCACCACCACCATCACCACCACCACCACCACCACCACCACCATCACCACCACCACCACCACCACACCACCACCACCACCACCACCACCACCACCATCACCACCATCACCACCACATCACCACCACCACCACCACCACCACCACCACCCACCACCACCACCACACCACCACCACCACACACCACCCACACCACCACCATCACCACCACCACATCACCACCACCACCATCACCACCACCACCTCACATCACCATCACCACCACCCCTCCCTCCCTCCCTCCCTCCCTCCCTCCTCAAAACATCGCTGGGACCTATAAATACTTTGTATATATTCCACAACAATAGTAAATGACCAAGGCAGGTGTAAATGTCCATCTGTCAGTGTGTTTGTGACAATTTGAGTGCAATTTCAGTACCTAATACTAGTGTCAGAACAAAGATTGGTTATAAAATGACAAGAACTACTTCAAATTGTAATTATCAGAACAAAAATTACATAAAATAATATGAAAAAATAAAAACAGGTATATAGGCAACACTTCTGCAAGGGGGCAGGACTTGCTGTTGCTGTCAAGTGAGCATCCAGTGCCAACTTCTGGGCCTCATATCTCGGTAAATACTGACACTAATTTTTTTTTTATCCTATAACACTTAGAAAAATGTGCTCTTTTTTCAATAAAAAAAATTTTTTTTATTTTTCAAAATATTTGGGGCGCTGTGCGAGTGAACGTATATATACATTTGGACCGTTTAACCCTTTCAGGGTCCATGCCATAGATCTATGGCTTTACGTTGAGGGTCCAAACCGTAGATCTACGCCATGAGCTCAGCTCACTCTGATAAGCTGTGAGTGGTAAATTTGGGCCTAGATATGAGAGAATACATCTATGTGGTATGTGTGCACCACATAACACAAATCCTTCAGCACACAGTGTATAGTGAGAGAAAAAAACTGAGACTGATTTTCGATTAAAACAGGGAATTTGCAGTGTTTTTTCATGTGTGTTTTATAGTTGTATTTGCGATTTCTTGGTCTCATTTGATAGAATGGAAGATATATTACAGAAATAGAGATGATTTTGATTGGTTTTAGCACTGGGAATGGCTTGAAACTGAGCTATAAGTAGCGGAAATGTTAAATTTTTGCCGATGTTGAAGAGTAAACAAACGACCTCACACATCTAATACACGCCAGCTGGTGGGTCTAATATACATTCACAAATGTGGTGATGATATTTATACAATTACTACAATATTGCATAACAGTAAATCTTCTATTTTTTGGTTTGAATAAAAATTCATTATGTGAATAAAATATCAAAATGGAATTCATTTGTAAAGCATCAAAGCATAACTAATGAACAGAGGAAATGTTGGTTTAGTGCCAGGACTGCCTACATTGTTTATTCTGGACCCTACTTTGAAATTGGAATATTTTGAACTTTGTGTTAAATTGGCCAAATTACCAATTTCCAATCACTTTATTTTGTAGTTGAAACAGTTGACTTGGCGATTTCTTGTGCTCAATCAATAGAATAGATGTAATACTAGTGAAAAGCTAAGAATTTGGTCGACTGGAATAATGTAATTGACCTAAAATGGGAGTCAAAGTTGGCAAAATCACCGATTCATAAATATCGCCGACACATCAAAATTCACAAGAGCATAATTTCGTCAATTTTCCATCAAATTTTGTTCTTTTTGTTTTATTACCTTCAGAAAAAGATTCTCTACCATTTCATGAGAAAAAAATAAAAATTTTTTTTTTTTAAATTCTTGGACCCTGGTGTGCACATTGAAATTTGGCCTCTGGACCCTGAAAGGGTTATGGGTTAAAGATGAATTTTACACCAGAAGGACTGTGTATTATTACTATTTTGTGAGTTATTTTCTTTTAATGCTCCTCTCTATAGTGTGATTTTTTTTTTTTTTGTAAATATGATTGAAATGCGACTAATAGCACATGCTATGAAGACCTTTCCATGAAATATTCCATTTTAGATGCACTTTTAATTTGCATTTGCAAAAAAAATCACTATATAGAGGAGCTTTATAAGAGAGCTTACTGAAGTTGTATCATTATTTTAGGTTAAGATAGCCACAGAATTTGCTTAAAAATGTGAAATACTGATATATGTGTGTCATTCTTTTAGGTTATGGTAGCCACAAAATTGGAACCAATGGAGACATTCAGACACCAGCAGACTTAGCCATGCCACCACCCACAGTAACTACTCCTCAGCTGGCTTCCCCATCATGGAAAGGTGCACAAAACATCCATAGAACTTCAGGTAAGTAGTAATCGTTAAGATTATTGCCACAGTTTATATTACATTATCATTATTATTATCAATTTTGATGTCAGTGGTTTCGAAAATCGACACATTGAAGAATGAAACACTTGTACAATATTTGGGAATCTATTGTGGAAACGTTTCACCTGCCAGCAGCTTCTTCAGTGCAATACAGAGAAGAAATGGTGGATGATGAGGAGGAGTTTGAGATGATCACTCCCTCTGCCCGGAGCCGATGTGTTCAGTCCATCGACTCCAGGTTGAGGGACTGATTACCTCCTTGTCTTCCACTCTTCTCTGTATCAGACTGATGAAGCTCCTGGCTAGTGAAACATTTCCATAATGAAGATTCCCAAATGCTGCAAAAGTTTCTCATTCTTCAGCATCAGTTTTTCATCATACATGGAAAATTCCAATGCATTTCAGGCAGATGTAAGGTTAAACATATTTTAAGATACTGGTGGCCTGTAGCTTCATTGCTAGTGCACTCAGCGCACACACTGAGCTCCATGTTTGATCCCCGGTACAGGTATACCTGGAGAGGGTTTCGGGAGTCAATGTCCCCATAGCTTGATCTGAGACCAGGCCTCATGGTGGATCAGAATCTGATCAACCAGGCCGTTACTGCTGGCCACAAACTGACATACGAACCACAGCCTGGCTGGTCAGGTACTGACTTCAGGTGCCTGTCCAGTGCCTTCTTGAAGACAGCCAGGGGTCTGTTGGTAATCCCTCTTCTGTATACTGGGAGACAGCTTAACAGTTTTTGACCCCTGACACTTATTGTGTTGTCTCTCAGTGTACTTGTGGCACCCCTGCTTTTCGTTGGGGAATGTTGCATCTCCTGCCGAGTCTTTTGCTTTCATAGGGAGTGGTTTTCATGTTCAAGTTTGGTATTAATCCCTCCAGGATTTTCCAAGTGTATATTAACATGTATCTCCCTTGCCTGCATTCCAGGGAATACAGATCAAGGGAATTCAACTGTTCCCAGTAATTTAGGTGCCTTATTGTACTTACGTGTGCTGTGAAAGTTCTTTGTACACTCTCCAGGTCAGCAATTTTGCCTTTCTTGAAGGGGGCAGTTAGTGTACAGCAGTATTCCAGCCTAGAGAGAAGAAGCAATTTGAAGAGAATCATCATGGGCTTGGTGTCCCTAGTTTTCAAGGTTCTCATTATCCATCCAATCATTTTCCTAGCAGATGTGGTAAATACGTTGTTGTGGTCTTTGAAGGCAAGATCCTCCAACATTATCACTGCCAGGTCCTTCACATTACTTTTTTGCTCTATTGTATTGTTAGAATTTGTTGTATACCCTGATACAATTTTAGTTTCCTCAAGTTTTCCATATCTGAGTAGCTGGAATTTCTCTTCATTGAACTTCATGTTGTTTTGAGTGGCCCATTTGAAGATTTGGTTGATGTCCACTTGGGGCCTTGCAGTGTCTTTGATGGAAGTCACTGTCATGGCAATTCGGGTGTCATCTGCAAAAGAAGACACAGAGCCATGGCTAACATCTCTGTCTATGTTATATATGAGGATGAAGATAGAATGGGAGTGAGTACTGTGCTTTGTGGAACAGAGGTTTTCACCATAGCTACCTTGAACTTTACTCTGTTTACTTTTACTCTTTGTGTCCTATTTGTCAGGAAGTTATAGATCCATCTACTAACTTTCCCTGTTATTCTTTTATCACGCATTTTATGTGCTGTTACACCATGGTCACACTTGTCGAAGGCTTTAGCACAGCTTGTGTATACTACATCTGCATTTTGTTTATCCTCTACAGCATCCAGGACCTTGTCATAATTGTCCAGTAATTGGGACAGGCAGGAGGGACCTGCTCTAAATCCATGTTGCCCTGGGTTGTGTAGCTGATGGGTATCTAGGTGGTTGGTGATCTTGCATCATAGAACCCTCTCAAAGATTTTTGTGATATGTCTGGTGTTTTTAGTGAGTGTGAGATGACCCCTGTGTCCATACACCTTCTCCATAGAATGCTAATGGCACCTAACAAGGGCTTCTTGCAGTTCTTGATGAACACAGAGTTCCACAAGTCTGGGCCTGGGCAGAGTGCATGGGCATGTCATTTATTGCCTTTTCAAAGTCTTGTGGTGTTAGGATAATAACAGATTTTTTAGATGATCAAATATTGGGTCTCGTTCATAAAGAATTCATTTGGATTGTCGACCCTTAGTCGACAGTCCAAATGAATGGCTCACTGAACACTGAGTCGTACTGGGACTTTAGTACCTCACTTGTTTCTTGGCTGTCATCTGTGTATGTCCCATCTCACCTAAGCAGGGGCCCAATACTAGATATTGTATTTCCCCTAGATTTGGCATAAGAGAAGTATTTTGTTTTTTTACTTTATGGCTTTTAGTTTTTCCTGCAATTCTTGTCTCCTGTAAGATTCCTTCTACTTAACCCTTTCAGGGTCTGTGCCGTAGATCTACAGCTTTACGTTGAGGGTCCAAACCATACATCTACACCATGAGCTCAGCTCACTCTGATAAGCTGTGAGTGGTAAATTTGGGCCTAGATATGAGAGAATACATCTATGTGGTATGTGTGCACCACATAAAACAAATCCTGCAGCACACAGTACATAATGAGAGAGAAAAAACTGCAACCATAATTTTGAATTAAAACAACGACTTTGCAGTGTTTTTTCGTATTTTTTTTTATAGTTGTATTTGCAATTTCTTGATCTCATTTGATAAAATGGAAGATATATTACAGAAATAGAGATGATTTTGATTGATTTTAGTATTGAAAATGGCTTGAAACTGAGCTCGAAGCAGCAGAAATGTTAAATTTTTGCCAATGTTCAAGAGTAAACAAATGACCTCACACATCTAATACATGCCAGCTGGTGGGTCTAATATACGTTCACAAATGTGCTGATATTATTTATACAATTATTACAGTATTGCATGACAGCAAATCTTCTATTTTTTGGTTTGAATAAAAATTCATTATATGAATTAAAAATCAAAATGGAATTCATTTGTAAAGCCTGAAAATATAACTAATGAACAGAGGAAATGTTTGTTTAGTACCAGGAATGCCTGCATTGTTTATTCTGGATCCTATTTTCAAATTGGAATATTTTGAACCTTGCACTAAATTGGCCAAATTACCAATTTCCAATCACTTTATTTTGTAGTTGAAACAGCTGAGTTGGTGATTTCTTGCGCTCAATCGATATAAGTAATACTAGTGAAATAGCTAAGAATTTGATTGACTGGAATAAGGTAATTGGCCTAAAATGTGAGTCAAAGTCGGCAGAATCACTGATGCATAAATATCGCTGGCACATTAAAATTTGCGTGAGCATAATTTCGTCAGTTTTCCATCAAATTTCGTACTTTTTGTTTTATTACCTTCAGAAAAAGATGCTTTACCATTTCATGAGAGAAAATAACAAAATTATTTTTTGAAAATTCTTGGATACTGTTGCGCACTTCGAAATTTGGCCTCCGGACCCTGAAAGGGTTAAGTTCAATATTTGCTATTTCATTGATCATTGCTTACCTTTGTATTTCGGGTGGAAACATTAGGATGTGTTTCCTTAATACATCTGCTGTCCTTGTTCACCTGTAAGTAAAATAGGTACCTGGGTGTTTGGACTGGTGTGGGTCGCATCCTGCAGACAAAATTGACCTAATTTGTCCAAAATGCTCTTCATAAGAAGACTTTTATATAGTAGTATGTCATTGATGTCATCTAAGCCTGCATACCTTGTACATGTAGAAATAAAGATTTATTGTTATTATTATTATTATTAATAATAATAATTATTATTATTATTATTATTATTATTATTATTATTATTATTATTATTATTATTATCACAGAATATATAGACTACATAATTGTTGAAGGTAAAATAAATAGTACAAGGTTGCCTCGATGTAATATGAAGCTTCTAAACTCTCTGTTGTATAACATTTTCATTGTTGTGACTCCTCAAAATTCAAAGAAATGACTGTTTTGCAATTTAAAAATACTTTTGAAATGGTTGAGAATCTTTTTCTGAAGGTAATAACACCAAAAATACAAAATTTGATGAAAAAGTTATGGAATTACTTAGGCACTAAGTTGGCAGTCTAGGCATAATTTATGCATGAATATTTTCACCCACTTTACATATTATTGTAAGCCAATTCCATTTCTCAATGGAAGCTATATTAGCTATTTCACTAGTATGCCTTCCATTCTGTTGGAAGGTATGCTAGTATTCAACTATCAGAATTACTCTATGAAGTGCACAAAAGTCAGCAATTTGGCCAGTGTTACAAATCTTTCTTTCTTTCTTTCAACAAACCAGCTGTATCCCACTGAGGCAGGGTGGCCCAAAAAGAAAAACAAAAGTTTCTCTTTTCAAATTTAGTAATTTATACAGGAGAAGGGGTTACTAGCCTCTTGCTCCCAGTGTTACAAATACAAATATTTATTTCCTTGTAATGCTTACAATGTGTGGTTTACATGTTATAAGATTTAAGTTACAGAGATGGCTACTATTGTGCCTAGGCACTTCGGGCAGACTAATACTAATTCTTATGCTATTTTGATATAAGTCATATCTGAGCAGTACATTTGAGCATATCATTAGGTACTTAGATAGGAACATTATCAGTTATTTAATATTAGTACAAATGGCAGATTTAGTAATGGGAATCAATTTGTCTTGACATGATAGTGTTACTATTAAAGCCATACTGGAAGAGTATCTTAGACAAACTTAGGATTAACTAAAGATTTAGTAAGACTAACAAAAAATTTAATAGGCAATAGCTGTATTAGGAATTGTATGTTTACAGTCGTTTGGGTGGGTGTAGGTGGAAATTATGGGGGAATTACAGATAATGATAAGTCTATATTTTTTTGGATGGGTTCATGATACAAAAAAGACAATTGGGTAGTTTTCATTTGATTGGCTGATGATGGGGTGTGTTATGGAGATGAGATGTTTTTTAATGGTAGTTCTGAAAATG